CAAGCTAACATGGTTGTGTTTCCTCCACCAGATTCCGTAACCAGTCTCTGCTAGCCCGGCACTCGCGCGTCCACTCCAACGAGCGACCCTTCCAGTGCAAGATTTGCCTCAAGCGCTTCGTCCAGTCGGGGTCGCTGCAGGCTCACATGCGCTCACACACCAAGGAAAAGCCCTACCAGTGCCGCTGGTGTCCCAAGGTGGGTGTCAGTACAGCTCGGTGTGTGCTCATTTGGCCCTACTATTAGGCACCGCAAACTGTCACGGAGACCAAAACCCACATTTTTACCCTCCTAAAACACTGTGTGATCATGCATACACACAGACACTTGGTATATTATATCAGAAGAAAGAGGAGCTTTTCCTCTTTTTAGTGGTATTATTTATTTGAATCAACGATTCTTTTGAAAGCAAAATCTTGCGGGATAAAAGACAACACTGTCAAGGTTTTCACCGCAGCGGCCGCGTGTTTCGTGTATTGATTTTTAGAGTGACCTCAGTTGAACAGGAACGGGGAGCATATGGTATTAAATACTGCAATCTGATTCGTCGATATTTCAAGATGAGAAGACGCTCTTTCCGGTGATATATTTCTAAAGACTGTCCTTAAAGAATTAATAGAAGAGATTTGCTTGTGAAAACTTTCGGTGCTGTTTTTTTATGGAACCAGTGATCGGACTGACTACGGAAATATATCGGCAGAAAGCCCATTCATTCCTCTTCAAGAATAACACAGCCATTATACGCAAATAAACACCGGACGCTCCCCGTCGGCTCGCAAGCAGGGCACCATCGCCCCGGTTTCGTATAAATTCTCTCTTCTTCCCTTCAGCGCGGCCCGGTGCGCAGCCGATAAGCCGGTCGTCGCAAGTGGTGATTTTAACCTCCCCTTGTATTTCTTGCCGTTGTGGTCAAAAAGCCATGTTTACGTCAATACATTTCCATCTTCTGGTTATTTGATAGCCCTGAAAAAATTAAGCTTGTTTTCTATGTTCATAGGTGTGTGTCTACAAGTTTTTGTGAACGTCCATTCTAACTGAAGAATGTTGTGACATCTCAAAGTGGAGACATTTCGCAATTAAAAAACTGTAACATTTTTCTACAACTTCAGATGTTCATAACTTTGTTAAAAATGAAGCTATATGTATAAATTTGGTATCAAAATGCTCAGAACGATCAATTCTATAAGGTAGTGCAGTTAACTATGAAATCAGAGGACTTTGAAATTTCACCATTCACCATTTATCTGCCTCAACTCACAGCTACCTGAAGTGCATGGCTGCCACTCACAGTTTTCAAATTCAGCTACGCCCGCCTCAAAGTTCAGCTATCACAGGCAAAAAGCCATAGACCTAAACCGAGTCAAAATAAGCACAAAATGAATAAACTGTGATAATATTCACCGTAAGCAGTCCGGGCAAAACCTGCCTTTCATGCAAATGGAGATCTTCATTAATGAAAACTAAAACGGTCACTGAAAAGAGTGAGATTGAGCAGTGGAAAGAGTGCAAAAGGCACTGAAAGTGAACATCTTGCAAACTGTAACAAATGCAATAATTTTTCAACAATTTCACTTACCATTAGATCTAGCAATTCTGTACAGGCACTACTGAAATTTGATGATATCCTCTGGTTCTTGATTAGCTTCAAGCTTTGCCATGTATCTCTGTCTTGCTGATCTGTATAATGATAGAAGCCGAGGGTTGGGGTCAAAGTTATCCTTGTGAAAGTCTCACTGCATCCAATGATGGCTTCAAGTGATGTTTAATTACTGCAAGAGAGTTTTAAAGATTGGTTTTGTTATTGTTCAATTTACTGAATGTTCTTTCAACCTCTGCTGTGCTTTGTGGTACAACTTACAGGCTGCATGGTCAGATATTTAGATCTAGATCTAGATTCTAGGCCCAGAAGCCATTATTTTGCATTTTGCATTCTGTTTGTTACGGGAGCGGGAAGTCACATCACAGCAGCGTAGGCTAATTACCAGAAGTGAAAGTTTCACATTGCCAAATTGCTTGTGGATCTAGATGTAGATCATAGAGTTCGAATCTCCCCCAAGATCTAGGCTAAATGAGTGAAGTATCAAACGTGAGGTGCCAGATAAGCATACAAAAATAATACCACAGAGCAAAGTACTCTGTTGGAAACACAAACACACTCTAATCCAAAGTTCAACTCTCTCACTTACACTACCACACCGCCAACTGTTGTGGGGGGAGCAGCTCCGACGTCGTGATAACACACCCACAATCCTCGCGGGTTTGCACTTCAGAAGTTTTGTCTCACGTTAAAACCGCAGCGTTTGCGGTAGCGGTCCATCTATATCCTAGCCCATTTACTTATCTTTCATTAGAAAGAAACGAAACCGAAATTGGACGAGCGCAAGTTGAGTTATTGACTTTTACGACCACCGCCATTAGAACTGAATTCACCATTAGGTTTCCCGCAATGGCAGATCCCAACGTCTTTGACCGTTTTCCAACCTTAGATGACAAAAGTGACTCAGAAACGGGTGATTGGTGGAAGATTGTTATGAGGACCTGGGTGGGGAAATTTACAAAGAAGAGTAAGGGTTAGTAGGCCCCACGGCCTTGGTCTAGGACCTGGGTGGGGAAATTTACAAAGAAGAGTAAGGGTTAGTAGGCCCCACGGCCTAGATCTAGGACCTGGGTGGGGAAATTTACAAAGAAGAGTAAGGGTTAGTAGGCCCCATGGCCTAGATCTAGGACCTGGGTGGGGAAATTTACAAAGAAGAGTAAGGGTTAGTAGGGCCCCACGGCCTAGATCTAGTGTCATCTAGGGTTCCTGTCGTGGGGAAGGGCCTCAGTAAGAAAGGCAAAGGGAACGCAGTTTTTGACCAATTTTGGAAAACTTGTGAAAATACAAGTAACAAGAAAACAAGGCAGTAATTTCATGGGGCAACCTTTATTATGTTCACACCCAATGTTCCAAACGTCAAGTCTCTGTGCTAATAAGCAAAAGCACAGGGATTTTTAAACAATATACCCTTAAAATGGTTGGTACACAGGGAATAGGGACCCCGAACATGGCTGGTAGTGAAGGAGTTAACTTTGAATATTTTTAATTGTCAAATTTGTAACATACTATTGTCGAATAGCCACCAATGAAAAAAAGTTACGGAAGGCTAAGGTAGGCTGCATTTGGGCAATTTTTCCAAAATTAAGTTTCGCATTATGCTACAAGCTATGGAGGTTGAAATTAAGCTACGGAAGCTAAATAAAGCTGTGCGTGGCAGCCTTGCTGAAGCGTGGCAGCCTTGCTGAAGTGTGACAGCCTTGCTCCTTGCTGAAGTGTGACAGTCTTGCTCCTTGCTGAAGTGTGGCAGCCTTGCTCCTTGCTGAAGTGTGGCAGCCTTGCTCCTTGCTGAAGTGTGGCAGCCTTGCTCCTTGCTGAAGTGTGGCAGTCTTGCTGAAGTGTGGCAGCCTTGCTCCTTGCTGAAGTGTGGCAGCCTTGCTCCTTGCTGAAGTGTGGCAGTCTTGCTGAAGTGTGGCAGCCTTGCTCCTTGCTGAAGTGTGGCAGCCTTGCTCCTTGCTGAAGTGTGGCAGCCTTCTCCATTCTCTTATGTGAAATCATTGCTCCTTGCACAAAGGTGAAAGGCAAGCTAATGGCTGATTTGAGCTACCCTAGCACCTCATGACGGGTGAGACTCTAGATGCTGAGTGCCGACCGAAAGGCTTCCTGCAGGGAGGAAAAAAGCTCCATGGCGAAAAGTCTCCTCCGTGCTCCGCGGTGATTACAGGCAAGCTAGCACCTGGCTGCCGGCCGAAATTTTTTTGGATCAAGGAAAAGCTTGTAGCTAAATGAGGTGCAAGAGCAAAGCACTTTTGAGATTGGTAAGGGTCTAG